GCTTGGCAGTGCTGGGGTAACGGTTGGACTCGATGATCTCAGAGGTCTTTCCCAACCTAAATGGTTCTGTGATGGCATTGGCAGATGTCACAGAGATCAGGGAATTCTTGGACTGCAGCTGGTGGGACTGACCGCGCTCCATACCGTGCACTTGGCTTCACGCACACGCTGCCTACCTGTTTGCTCCAAGACACCAGGGCCGCTTTGAACCCTGTGCTCTATCACAGTGAGCTCTGGGAATGGAGCCTCTCGTGACCCCCAGCTTCCCTCCCTCCATCTGTGGACCTCTGTCCCGTTCAGCTCTCCAGAATACGCCGGCGCAGTCGGCTGCGGGATGTCTAGCTGCGTCAGGCGCGAGGTGTGCTGGGTGTTCTTCTCCAGCGCCTGCTCTGTTGCATTACTCACGTGCCCATTGATTCCCTTTATAAACTGATTTAACTGGCATAAAAATGAAGTAATTTTTTTTCCTGTTAGCTCAGTGAGCTGCCCTGGTCTCTGAGGAGAGAAACGCTGAAATGAGTGTGGGAAAGAAATGAGGAGGGAGCAGGAGCAGGCTACTAGGTTCCCTCATGTCATCCTACCATATCTTAAAGTACCTTCGAGAAGTTTACTCTGGTGATTACATATTCTTGTACCTTTTTTCCTGTATCTTTCTGATTTTATTCCCCTTTTACCACTTCTCCTCAACTTCTCAGCATAAACATGTTTCCTGCACCTAAGGGACCATCGTGGGTATAGGCTGCCTCGTTGCTCTGTTCCTGTGCCTGGCTTCCAGGGCTTCCTGGCAGGAAGGAATGCAAACAAAAATCCGTTCAATCTGTGTACCACAAAAAAAGACGGGTCGGTCGCTGTGGATGGCAGAGGGCGGGCTGGCTGGCGTGTCAGAGATGTGGAGGAGCCCGGCACGCTGCGGCTGTCAATACCCATTTGAAACCAGTTGAAGCCAGGATGGTCGAAGTGTTTATGACTCTGCTGTCTGCACTCCTCTGCTCACTTCTCTGTCCTAGAGATTGCAGTCTGTGATCTGACATGTGTCTCCTTGCTATATACGGATTGAAGAATTTCAGAGAGGTACAATTCAACCAAATTAATTCCTAAACAGGCTGATAATACTGCTAATAAAATCCCCTTTTCAAAGCATGAGAGGACTAGAGCTCCTTGGAGAGTTTTAAGAATATTTTTAACGTGGCAAAACAGTGTTGTTTTTCTCTAACTTCATTCCAACAAATTGCTAACTAATTAACTTGAAACATTGCTATATTTAAACTATTTGGTTTAAAAGTTTAATGGCCATTTTCTGTCTCGGGCTCTATTTCCTGCTAGGGTTGTGAATTAGTTCATCTCCCACATACAAGAACACTGAGAAACCTTAAATGTAATTGTTCTTTTTCCTGCTGCCTAGGATAATATGATTTTGGTAAGTCATACTAACTTAAGTACATCATTTAATCGACACAATGTTGATAAAAAAATAATGCTTTCTTGAATATTTCTGAACCAAAAACACATTACATGTTTTAAGATATCTTTGGACCATCCTGTCCATTGATGTTTGATCATTTCTTCGGTTTTATAATTAAGTCCTCCTGATTTTTACAGAAGCACAATAGGAGCATATGTCTATTGTTGTGGATCCTTCCCACTATAAATCATACCCAAAAATTAATCTGGCAGCAGTTTGTAAGAAAGAAAAGTTGAGATGCAGTTTCCGATAACAGGCATATTTATTTTACATTTTTGTATAGGAATGTTATTTTTATCTTTTTATTTTTCTAGTGGTAAGGAGTAGGAACAGAAAATTGGATTAAAATCTTTGGGGATTTTTTTCATTATTTCTCTGCTTTACTTTTTACCACATACAGTAGATTCTTTTAAACAAAATGCAAATTTCATTGCAAATATTAATAACGAAAGGATACTCTCGTGGACTCGGAGTTTTAATGCTTCTGTTACTAGAGGGCGCAAGGTTATAAGGAACCAGGTTTTATAAATTTAGGCTACGGTTGCTGTTGTCTTTCCTTAAACTTCACTTATCAGTCCACTTTTGCTGTAGTTACTTCAGTCATTTAAGAATCTTGACTTGTCCTTTTCCCGTCTGTAAACAGTTGTTGTATTAACTACTGATGAAAATGCTGGACGTGTAGATATGAAAATGAAATCCCATGTTTGCTGGCAGTTAAAACAAACGTTATATGTAACTAAAATATTTCACTCTTGACAATACCAACTGAGTACTTTTTTTGCTAAGTTTCCTGAAAATAGTGTCAGTAGTTCTGTTATTCTTCATTAGCTGGGACCCCTTTCATTTGAGATTGAGATTTATCTGACTGCGAACAAATGCAACTGTGTACAGTTTTTAGACTATTTTTGAAAATTAGTAGCACAGTATTTCTATGTCTGTGAATCATACCGGTGCCACCGTTGCCTTGCCTAAACAAGATAGCTGTTGTGACATTACTTATATTTTAAATGTTATAGAGTGTTTATTCTGTCTCTTCAGCAATAAGATATATGCTAAATGAACTTCCGAAAAGCAGGTACTGATTCCTATCATGATAAGCATATGCTTTTTTTCTTTTAAAAAAATGCTTTTTGTCGTGACTTCAGTTAGGAAATGCATATTACTTTCTTACCTGTATTTCTGTGCATTGCAACTCAGCTGGATTTCTTGCTACTTCTTTTTTCTGCTCCTGATCAAGTATATGCGTAATTTTAAGCATGAGTAGTCCCATTCAAATCAACCCAGGTATGAGCTTCAGTCAACTGAAGAAGGCAAATCCCTCAGTCCAGAAAAGCAGTTATATTTATGCACAAATTTGACTATACCAGCAGTCCAGTTGAAGGTTGGAGATAAATGGGACACATTCCCTGGAACGGCCTTTTACTCTGCTTTAATAAATATTGCCCTTGCATGAGTCTTCCTGTGGTCTAATCTTATTCCCAAATACAGCTGTATTGAAGATCAATCTTAGGTTCCTTTGTTGAGCTGCTATATCCTCACCCATATTGAATGCATAGTCTCATTTACGATTTCTTCTTCTGTGAACACTTGACACAAATTTAGATTTATGCCTCATCTCAAATTTAATGTAGAGACTTAAAATGAAGTATCGTGAGGAACACAGAGCTGGAAAGGACTGCCTAGGTCATTGAGTCTAGTCATTTGACGCTGAAGACACCAGGCACCATACAATCCTTTTCATCTCAAAAGCAGGTAGATTTTTTGTTCCTACTGCTCGGATTGGAGGGTTATGCAAAAACCTCACTGATCTAATGGTTAGATGTATCCGTGGCCAGCTTATATTCATTTGTTCTTCTGCCAACATTATGCTTTAACTTAAATAGCTCTTCTCTTTGATTTAAATTAAGCCATATATATGGATGTAAAAGCTCAGTGCATCAGAACACTGTCAGTGTTATATAATTTTTTGAATTCATGATCTGAAGCTTAATACGTTTCTTCAATGACTAAGTATTCTTGTTTTTTCCTTTTATAGCTTTACATGTGGTACACATGAAAATGAGGCTGAGAACGCGGAAAGCTTCTCAGCAATCGAATCAGATTCACACGCAGCGTGCTTTGAGGGCAAAGAGGAAACATTCGGAGGTGGAAGAGAGCTTACCTGTTGGCGGAGGAAAACCACAGAAAAATGAAACTGGCTTGTTGTCTTCAATCAAAAAGTTTATTAAAGGAAGCACACCCAAGGTACACCATGAGTGGGTTTCTTCTTTTGTTTTTCAATTGGGTTATATTCAGTTAAACTTAATTTAAAACCATTTCTTTTAAGAACAAACACGGGTAATGTGGTGGAAGCAAAACATTCTTGTAAAGAACGGGAAGGCAAGAAGTACTTGTGATAGCTGTGTCAAGTAACAGATGAAAAAAAAAAAAGCAGACTTTCAAACCCTACAGGAGTCAGTTGTAGGTGTATTTAAGACAATCCAATAAATCGCAGGATTTATTACCTAGGTATTTCTTTGTGAAAATGTTGACTAATAAATTCAGTAGATTTTTAATTTTTGCGTTAAGGGTTCCTTGAATTTGGGAATTACCGGTACTGGCAACTAAGAAGAGCAAGTCTGTAAGCATAAGTTTGCTGCATGTTTTTAGCATTTTTATTCAAAATTGTTTAGGAGTCCATCAATCAATAAAGGTCAAACCTCACAAATTCAACTCTCATGGAATTGATACAACTGCGGAGTGTATTATTGCAGTGAACGCTGCCCCCGCTTAGTGGATGAAACTCAAACATTGTCAGGGCTGGAACACTGAATCTCATCTGTCTTGATCCAGACAGAAATCTGAACTTTACTAATCTTCACATGTTAAAACCTGTTGCATGTACGTTTTGAGAGTGAATTTTTAATACAGATATATAAAAAATATATATTTGTATTATATTGTTTTATCTATATATAAATATAAAATGTTTATATTTTTATATATATATGCTTATATATTAAAAAAAAAAAAAACTTTGATAGGCTGAATGTAACCTTGCTACTGCTTCAAAAACTGTGGGTTTTTTTCTGTAAAGGGCAGCTAACTGGCTGCTAAAAAAAACACTTCACTGAGTCCCAGCAGTCCAGATATTGACATTATGTAGCTGTAAATTTTAAAGAAGAGTAGACAAGAAGTCATAACTAAATTAAGATGTATCCCAGATTAACTGTATGATAAATGAAAATATGCTATAAATTCAGAAATATTTTCTGGGTTTTGAACTAAGTGTTGAAATGATCATTTTGTAACAAGCTGAAGTTGAGATAATTTTAATTAAAGTAACAGCGTATTCTTAAATTGTCAAAAATACAGTGGAATTTGCTACCTCAGGGCGTGTGTTAGTTACCTATCATAGAAACATTGAGGTACCAACAAAGAAATGTTTCCGTAAAAATAAATGGTTAAATCCCCTTACATTTTGTTTTTCATTAAACCGGGACAATTAATCTATTTTACATTCAGCATCTATATTGGAGCTCAGTAGTGCAACATTTTGGCTGCAAAACCACTGCAACAAAACGCTGAAACCTAAGCAAAACATTTTACGTTGGAATTTTAAGATAAGGGAAATATGTCTGGTTTTCCTTTCCTTTGTCTCTTTAAGGTTTTGTTAACTTTCTCTCTTCCCCTCTTCTCTTCCTCTCCCAAATCTTTGGATTACATTTCGTTCTTTTTTTTCTTGACAGGGTTTTTCGTATAAAATGTCCACATTTTTCTCCTGTTTCCTTTCATGTCCCCTCCTGTGCCTGCAGTAGGACTTGGAGTGGTTCCAGTGGCATTAGCATGGCATGATATTGATACTGCCGGGCTATCTTCCAAAGCGCTAATGACTTAACAAAGTAGTCTTGTGGCTGCCATGGAAACGCTATAACTCTTTGAGATAGTGTATGCGTACAACGTGCATAGTAGTTCGTTTATGGGTCTGCTAAAATCTAAATTACCACTGAGGTCATATGGATTTATGGCAATAAACGTCTTGGTAACGAGTATATCTTGACAATTTCGATCATAGTCAAAGCTCATTTATCTGGTATTGTAAAGATGTCTTATTAGAAATACACCTTAAACAAACAAAACCTGAGAAAACCTTATAGCTATGTAGTTAGAGAAAGCAGAGACTGAAATGTGGCTCTTCGAAGGTGGACGGTGATAGGTCTGGTCTTGAGGTCTTTTGCTAACTGACGGGCCCCGTGCAGGTCGGCAGTCGTATGGAGCGCGCAACAGTATTTGTCATGTACAAAATGACAAATCTGTTATACCAGAAAACCTGATACACGTATGCGTACAGAAAGCGCTATTAAACTTTTTAAATGTTAACATCGGAAATATTGTAGAACTTGCTGTTGCAGGTTCCTCCAAGCCTGTTCGATTCGGGGCCTTCTGGCACTGTCAGAAATCGCATTGACTTCAAATGTGTTGTCATTACTTCTAGTCTCAGGTTAGGCCATTCCTTAATATGTACGTGGTTTCTGAAAACAGCCTAAAAGCAACCAAAATGTTTATGTTGGTGTGACATTGCCGCGTTCCTTATGGAACAATTATTGATAATAATAGGTTATATTGAATTGAATAGATCATAGAATTAAAATAGATTGTTATATAAATACATATAATAGGTATATTTAATTCTATATCTGTGCAATAAAATTTTCAGTGTATAAACCAGGTAGCACAGTAGCATTGTATCTAATTCCACCTTTGGATGCTGTTAACTAGTACAGCATGGGCACAGCAGCGTGAGCTTTCCCGCCGCATCATGACAGCTCCTCTTCAGGAGGATGGAAGGGATCTCCAGATCTAGTGCATTCGTGATGCCTCTGCTGATACCACCAGCCATGTTTCCTGCTTCCGTTGTAGTTTTTGTAATGTTCCTACGCTTGTTTTCCATAAAGCGGAATGAGAGCACAACTCATTTTATGAAGGCCGATGGGTAGCTTTCAGAAGTTAATTAATTTCTCTCATTTTTTCCCCCGTGCTGAACATTTGAACAAATGACCTACAAGATGAGATGCCTTACTGTTCTTTTATCAGTTCAGTGAGCCATCCATTTTCTCTCATTATATGGATTTATGGTATACACAATATTATGAATTCTAAGTGGTAGTAATTAGATTGCTCTCGCCAAGGTTGTTGGTCAAGGATATTGCCAGTAGGGAGCTTTTGGGATCATGGTGTTCACTTGTCTTCTGATAAGGACGTCAATACATTTCCATGTTTGTTAGTATTTCTTTTAGCTATGGTACTGTTATGGGCTTTAGATTAATTTTTCTAAAAGATCTATTTACTTTTTTTTTTTTTTTTTTTTTTTTTTTTTTTTTTTTTTTTTTTTTTTTTTTTTTGGAGCACGCAAACCATTTTTCTCTTTTCTTTTTAAAGATGTGAAACTGCTGCTCCAGAGAGGTAATATTGTAATTCTAAAGTTGAAGTTTTAATTCACTTTGATATGGTCTGTGGCCTTGTAATTTATTTTTATATTTAATCCAATTTATTTTGCATTGTCTCACACCTTACATGTCAGTGTACTCTATATGGTCATGCTTTAGATTTCAGATTGCCATTTTATTAAGTTGCAGTAGGTGCTTTGGGGAAAAAAGGGGAAGAAACCTGTCTTTAACACGTGTGCCTACACATATGCACAGACAATGCGCAAAAGTGTTTGGTTCTGTGTCATTCATGTGAGTGCCACGGGGAAGAACAGTCATTTACTTAAAGGTGAGGAGAATCATTGGGTCGTAACCCTTGCTTACAACATTTTTAACAGCTAAGTTTTGCCCTGTACTGTCTGATAGGGACTGAATAGCAGCAAGTTATATACTCGTATACAATTTAGCAAGCCCCTTTGTGCAGGGAGCACGGTGGAGAATTTCATCTTGGATACTGTTGTGCAGTTTACTGCCTGTATGTTTAACAGGCAGAGAAAGCAAGTTTCAGATAATTTTAGTTGCCTTCTCTCTGCATTTCCCCAACTCCGTAGCACTTAAATATTTATCAATTGGCTATCCAGTGAAATAGTCCTTAAAGACAGTTTTTCTGCTACAGAAGTTCCAAGTACAGTTTTCTTTCCCGATACTTTGCTATTTACCTTGAGTTGTGTCAGTTTAAAATTCCGGCTGGCCAGATACACGTTGCATATTCTGCATCTGGAAATGGAACAATAAATGGATCTTTTGTGAAACTTTCTCGAACAGCTAACATTCTCTGGTAGTATTCAGTGGAGAAAAGAGGCACTATTCAGTATGTTTCTTTTTCTCCCCTTTTCTATTTTAAGGAAGAAAGAGAAAATCCTGCAAAAAGAAGTAGAATTGAACGGGATATAGATAACAACTTGATTACATCCACACCTCAAACAGGAGAAAAGCCTAATAAACAGATCTCTCGAGTACGACGGAAAAGTCAAATGAATGGAGGTTTGTAAATATTCTAATCGTAGGTTGTTGCGGTTGCACGGTGGTTCAGTAGTCTTACAGCTGTTAACTAATATAGAACGTTTCTCCAGTGGTGGACGTTATTAGGGGGTTTGTGATTGACTTCAGTGAGAGCAAGGCGGAGCTAATAGTAGCAAAATAAGGTTTCTAAGACCGTAAGCAACAGTTATGTTACTTCTCAGGCACATCTGCTGTATCTTTGTAAGAACAATTTGGATATGTGATCATGACCAGCTATTTTGGAACTAGTTTCACTTTTTTTTTTAATTATTATTCTAAAAAGCTGATGATAATTACTTGATTTAGCTCTTCTCCCATTTTCTCACAAAAAAAAGTGAAATATGACTTCCCAACTCATGACCTTTGTGGAAGTAACCAGGTATCCTTAGATATTGAAAGCACTTGTCAAACGCAGACGAGTTTTTGTCATAGAACCATAGGAAACTTTAGATCAGAAGGGACTTCTGTCGGCCATCTGGGCCGGTCCCCCTGCTCCCCTCACAGCAGTGTCGATCCAGCTTGAAGCGAGATCTGGCTTTGGAGTTAGATCAGGCTGCTCAGAGCCTTGTCCAGTCAAGTTTTGAATATCTCTAAGGGTGGAGATTCCACAGCCCTGTTCCCTGTGAAAATGGTTTCTTTTTGAATTTCTCTGATAATGACATGATAAAATGGTCAATGCCATTTAAAGTATCAGCTGTGGTTCCAAATCTGACTTTAAAAGAACATTTTTTTAGACTTCCAAGGAAGCAAGACTTAATGTGATTGTGCTGCCTGTCAGTGTTCCTTCATTCTCCATTCCCCCCATAACTTGGGAATCCGTTGTCTGGTTTCTGCCAGGTTTGACAGCAAGGCAGAGGTCTCAAAGATTTCATAGTCTTACAAGGTTTGCAAAATCAGTAGCAAAGTAGAGGACAGAGCTCCAAATGAGTGATGGAAAGGTTACAACGTGAGAGAATTTGGTGTTTGGTTGTTGTCAGATGTCTGTGTGACATGGCGTTAGGAGAAACCCCTTTTTCCAGTGTTCACTACTGTTATTAACGTGTTTTCCCTCCTGGAGAGATACCGGATACGCACCCACTTACAGGGTGATGCATGCAGACAGTGCTCCAAGGTGAGAGAGAAGCGATGGACTTAAATCAAGAGTGTTCTGAGACAGGCACGTAGAGCGCACTGAGCCCGTGTTACTGTACAGCGATATGAAGTTCTGAGTTAAAATCTTCCACGTTAGTGCAGGCACCGAGTTGCAGCCGGCACACCCTCCGTTTTATATAGAAACGATAGGAAGTGTGAAGTACTTGTGCAGCTCCATCAGGCTCAGCTGACAAAAAGGTTCTCAGCTCATGTGCACAAAATGCGTTTGCTTACTTCCATATGGGCAGACGTCTCAAAGACTGGGTACTGTGAAGTAAATAACTTCTCTTTCCTTTCAGTCTCAGAACTGTGTCTTGGATCTCAGCCATGAGATGGCAATTTATAGTTCTAGGATGTGCTTCACTGTACGTGCACATTTATAGAAAACCTTAATTGTTACGTGTTATGTTTTGTAATGTGAAGATTTATTTACTTCTGTGTCCTTTGTTATCTGTGATACCAACTAAAAACTATTTTGCTTCATAATTGTATTTGTGCGTATATGTGCGTGTACATATGTGGGGAATAATAAATTATGGACTTGATCTTGTGAAGTTTGGAGGTTCAGCCACTGGAGTTCCACTGACACTTTCTCTCGTTTCCATCTACTGGAGTCCCGCTGATACAGACATCTAGTTGTTGCGAAAGGTGCGCAGCATCTTAACGTCTGTCTTCCATCATCAAGCCCATTTAAAGGATTTAAACTTCTATTGTTTGTTAATCTATAGCATACTTTATATAAACAACTGGTGCTTCCTAATTTGTAGTGTTAAACTTAAGATGGTGTTGAAAATTGGCATTTTGTTTTTATGTTGATACTAAATTGCTAGCCCTTTTTTTTTCTTTAAATGAAACACCTGGGCTAATTTTTTTGTCGACGAAGTTGAACCATGAGCAAGAGGATCCTTTCCTATAGTGAAAATAATAACGATAAAAGAGAGGATGTAACTGAAAACCAGAAGCATGGTATTATACTTCATAACTTTTCTTTTACAGAAGCTGGAAGTTACGAAATGACAAACCAACATGTAAAGCAAAATGGAAAATTAGAAGATAATCCTACCACTGGCAGTCCCCCACGAACTACATTACTGGGAACCATATTTTCTCCTGTTTTCAATTTTTTTTCACCAGCAAATAAAAATGGTGAGTATTATTTAAAAAGCCAATAGTGTTAAAGCTAAGAATGATAGATTTTTTTTTTTTAAGAAAAAGCTGTTTTGAGCGGCAGTACACTTTTCATTCTGATTTACAGACCAAGAGTTACTACTACCAGATAAAGGGCTCCTTAATTCTTACAAGGCTTGATCATTAATAAAAGAAGCAATAAGTTTATATGCATTAGAACATTTCTTTCACAGGTGTAAGTGTCTAGCGGTGTACCTTTTATTTAAAAAAAAAGAAGACAATAAAAAATCGGTATTGAGTTCCTTGTCCCAAACATAAAAGGCATTCGTCACGGTCTTCATTTTGGTTCTTATTTTGGTAACGTGAATGAAATGCAGCTATCTTCAAGCATTCTGAAACTTTTTTCTGTGTGGTTAATAATGACTATCAGTACTCTGATAGGTAACTCAGCTTAAAGATAATGACCATGAGCATACTGAAATCTTAATTCAGGAACATCAGGATCAGATTCTCCAGGACAAGCTGTTGAAGCTGAAGAAATAGTCAAACAGCTTGATATGGAACAGGTAGATGAGATTACTACAAGTACTGCAACATCAACCAATGGAGCAGCTTATACTAGCCAAGCAGTGCAGGTCAGATCTGCTGTCAACAATGGCTTAGAAGAAGTGGAGGAAACAAATGACCGTGACCTGCCACCACTTACAGGTAAGAAATGTGTGCTTGCCTTGGACTCAAGTATTGAAGCTGGGTGTAATTTGTACTCTTAGGGAAATCCTAGCACCTGCATTTTGTATAAATTAATGTGTCACGTTTTCTTAGGGCACGCAAACAGTATTAATATTGATTTTCATGTTTAATAGACAAATCTCTTTTGTGCACGAAAGACACAGTTTTGGCAAGTCTCATCTATTGCCGGTATAACTCAGTTGAGCTCATAACATTTCTTCAAATGAAAACAAAGATTCCAGAAGAAAGGCATTTTTATTAATATTGAACCTTCCCCACCCCCGCCATTAAAAACGCCCACCCCAACATGGTGAGGTGAATGAGAAACACAGAGCCTACATTAATTTTCTTCAAAAGACTCATCATACATCTCTTTTGACAAAAACCATATCCATAAAATTCAGCTTCTCTTCTTTGTGGATGGCCAGCATCGAGTTCTTAACAGTTCTCTAAATCCCTCCTAGGCCCTCAGAACATTGGCAATTAAGTGGTACTGAGGTTTTTGAGGGCTCCTTTCAGGGAAGTAAATTTAACCTCAAAGTAGAGGGGCTGATGTGTGATCCCCAGGTCCGGTCCCGACCTTCCGATGGGCTCTGCTGCCTTGTTTCAGAAGGGCCCCTCCGACACGAGGTGAGAGCTGCAGGCTGGAAGAGCTGCGCTAGCTTCTTAGGCGGGGACGCGCATCCGGGTAGTTCACATCGTCAGAGGTTGCGCGGATGCCTTGCTGCGTCACACGGGCGCTGCCAGTTTGGCCGGGTCGTGAAGCTGTAGCGTGACGTGGCGTCAAGCTCTCGGGTAGCTTGCTGAGGAGCTGTGCGGGCTATTTCAGTGGGGACTGAGAGGGTGGGGCTGAAGGGAGAGGTTTTTTGCTGTTGTCTGAGGCACTCGAGTATCAAGTGCAAATTTTCACTTTTAAAAACTGCACTAATAAGACTAGCTCTTGTGGTTTTTTGTTTTATTTTTTGTTTTGGTCATTTTCGTTGAATTTTAGCACCAGTATCTCCAGACAGTGGCTACTCATCAGCTCATGCAGAAGCCACCTATGAAGAAGACTGGGAAGTCTTTGATCCGTAAGTGCTAATGTTCGTCCTGGAAATATTAAAGTGATCATTTTGGGTATTGGATTAAGACAGGCTTTTTTTTAGCTGGGACATTTTTATATTATGGTAATGAAATCCAAAGGCTCTTAAAAAATAAGTGGATATTGATGTGGGTTTTTTTCCAATTTAAAATACTTATTTCTTGTGCAGCTTTAAATATTTGAAATATTAAGTTGGGCTGCAACATTACCAGCTAAATAATGTATATATATTTCTACAGCAAAATCTCTATTCTTTTCAGATATTATTTCATCAAACATGTTCCGCCACTAACAGAAGAACAACTTAACAGGAAGCCAGCTCTTCCACTGAAAACAAGAAGCACACCAGAATTCTCATTAGTTCTAGACTTGGTAAATATCTTTATAAACACATACCAAAAGCAGGGGGTACGCGTAGCATTTCATGTATTTTTTTTGTTGCTGAAATCAGTAACGTTTGCTTTAAACAAAAAGGCCTTGTTGAATGTTACACAATTTTTAGTATTTTTAGTTATAGTCTGCATTAAAAAAAATTAATAGTGGCAAGAATAGAATGCTTGCTGTATTTGTTGAATACTTAACATCCTGTTTAAAAAAAAAGCATAAAAGCATTACAATTTTTATCGTCTGAAACAAAGAGTTATCTGTCCCCATAAAGCTTTCCTAAATCCAATGTGGAAAAAAAAGAGATGTAATAAATAGGAAAATTCAGCTTCATGTGTCTTGCATCAAGATTGATCAAGAATGAATCTTTTAATTCTTAGAACATTCTTATTCTTAGAGGGCACAAATCCACCTTTTAAAATATTCATAGAAAATATATTTGTCTTTATAATAGTTTCTTTTAGTCTCCCTGTTTTGAAAGTTGTTTCAGACCCTGTTAATGGTGTCGGGAACATAATTTTATCATGAACAGTATCGGTTGGCATGTCCTCTAGTGGTTGTATGAATGGACAGATCATTCAAACTGACAGAATCAGATTTGCACTGAATGACAGGATAGCCACAAAATTAAAATATCTTCGTATAGTTATGCTCCTAGCACACAATTCTAAGTGATTTTTTTCAAAAACTGCAAGAATAGTGAAATGTATAATTCATTCTAAGAATTCTTCTTCAATCCTGACAGCAGTTGCACAAAAATAAATCTTCCAGACTAAATAAACTTACCTTAAAATGAGCATAAAAATCCAGAAAGCAACTTCTATTTTCAGCATTCTTTTCACAATCTTTTCTTTCTTTTATACCATCTTTTTTTTTTCAATAGGATGAAACATTAGTGCACTGTAGTCTAAATGAATTAGAAGATGCTGCACTCACTTTTCCAGTTCTTTTTCAAGATGTCATTTACCAGGTAATTAGCGTGCATAGAAAAATAGATACCTTTTTATTTTGTTTAACGTATGAATTCTTGCTGTCTGTACTTGTAATCGTCTTGTTTAAAGAGAGATAAGTAACTGTCTGGCTTTTAACAGCTGTCTGGGTTATAAACTGCAGGTGTCAGATTTTGCGAGGTGGATTACGCTGTATTGGAAATGCCGTGGAGCACTGTTTATTGCCGCCACACCGCGGTAGTGTCGGTCACCGATTCCAGCTGTAGACATTGATTGCTGGGGGTGCGAATGATCGCTGTAGCAGCGATCAGCAGCAGCAGCCTTTCTCCTTGCCAGCAGGTGGAGGCAGGAACACTGATGGCTTAGCCGGTGTCATTTCCCGGGTACAGCTTCTCACCGACTGTTAACTCTCTTCCCTGGGTAGGGGAAACCAATCCACATTGCTCGTTTCTTTCTGTACAGAAGCCATCTTCAGAGCCTGACATTGACTAGCTTCTGTCTTGGTCATTAGCCTTGCTGTAGGCTTTGCCAGTGCCGGTTCTACCTCTTCACTCCCAGAGAGAGTCTGCTGAGTATTTAGAGTCATTTTTGATTGTCTTGTGGAAACTGCGAGATTTAGGGGTTTGTTCTGCCTTAGGAGGTATTGTGAGTTGTGCGTGGCTTACACTGACGTCCCGTAGAGGAGCGAGCGTGGGAAGGAGGTAGTCTCTTCCAGCCACTGCCAAAGATGCTGCGCTGACCCAGGCTGTTGTTCTCAGGTTCTTTTGTGTGATGTACCTGGGAGTAGCAACAGCTTCCCCACCATGTAGTTGGCACGGTATTGGACCCCACTGTAGTATCTTTGGAGAATGAGCCAGTCATCAGGCACCTTAAAAGGACACTTGTCCAGGTATTTTTCCTGATTTTAAAAATGTTTTTCTTCGCTGTTTCATATTAAAACCCTTGGAATCTGAAAGGCTGACGTAATTTTTAAACGTGGCTTTATCTTATCTCTTATTTGGTGGCAGCCGTGCACAGTTTCCTCCAGGCTGAACTGGGAATGAGCCTTAGAATTAGTTCTTTGGAGGTTCTTGACACGGCTAACAGCGTCAGGAAGACTAAAGCTTCATTTTTTTTCCTTCCTTCTCTTAAGAGATCTCAGTATGATTTGAGTATTTTCTGTCTATAACCGTGGTCCTTCTAGTGACTGTGTGTTTACGCTGAGATCTAACCGGGATTTTGCCTTTAGGAAACTGAAGTCAATGGCAAGAGTGACTTACAGTATTTCTAGAGCTTTATTTAACGGCATTGTGCAGAGGGCTGGGTAGCCCTTGATACAGTACGGTTACTATGTGGGTCCCGGGTAAGTTTTCTCTTGGCTCTCTCTAGAGTCTGGCCTGGATTTGCCAAGGAACAATAGCTTCTTGCAGCCTTGAGGAAGTCAGCCGCTGTCTTTGAGCGCTCTCCTGATCACTGTGTTCTGTTTTGCTGGTTTTACATCACACTAGACACTGACAAAACAGTCACCTCTTACTGAGTACCAGGTAATAAGCGAGACAAATATTTTAAGGATACAATTAAGTTCATGTTTAACCAGGGTATAATATGCAAAAAGACAAATAATCTTCTCCTGTGATGAAAGTTGAAAATAAGTTTGTTGCTATTTCATACTCTTCTTAGCATTTCTAGTCAATAATTAGCTATTTATCAGCGTTTAAAATGTATTTTTTTGCTTATCAATTTGACCATCACCTCTGGTATGGTCCTGTATTAATTTCACATCTCCATACTTCATTTTGAAAGTCATTTCAGCTGGCAGCAGAGAAGCAGACACTAAGCTGTCTGAGCAAAGTAGAAGTCAGCAAGCTGCTATGTATAAAGTATTGCATCATATAGCCCACTGAAAACAGTGCTGGATGTGAAAGAGACATTTCTGAAGATGTTTTCCATTAGTATCAAAACACGTACCACTTTGATGTAGGTTGTCCAGAAATATTAGACAGTTATCTATTAATTATTTCTTAAGAAAGAGTAGAACCTAGCTCAGTGCTCATTTTCCTACCGAATATCTTATCTTTCTCACATTGTCTGACTAATACTGCAAATGTGAGCCCGGGTTCATAGCATTTCACTTTTCTTACCCATCTGAAGGCACCAAGCCAGTGCTCTTGCAGTAACAGTGTGATGAGAAACCAGGCACTTCTCGAAAAGATGCTCCAGAACTGGCCGCTGTCAGGTAGTACAGCAGTAAGAACTCGATTGGCGGGGGTTCTAGAAGGTCTGTTATAAAATACAGCTAAACTCCGCTGGCCTGAGTTGTGCACAGGGTTCATGTCCAGGAACTCAGCTCTGTTGTTGCTTGTGTCTGACTGTATGCGATGGTCTGTTTCACAGCTTACCCGGAGTTACGCAGAAGAGAAGAACTATTTAGTGTCCGAGTACAGAGCAGTGCTCTGCAAACTTAAAAAATTACCATGCAACTCCAGCACTGACATATAGGGTTTTTTAAACCTTTGGATGAGTCACTTACTGATTTCTGTTTAAAAAGAAAAAATAAAAAAATAATCTGTGAAATGGGAACAGTTGGGCTTACTTGCATCAGGCTTTTGAGACAATTTTGTGTTTGTGTTTTTTCGGTTGAAAAAATCTCTAAATTATTCAAGTGTTCAAGTTTCGGACTTAGTAAAAATACAGTCTTCGCAAAACGGAGGTTTTCTTAAATACTGTATCTGTTAAGTGCTATCTTACATCTGACTAGAAAACAAAAATAAATGTTCAGCTCTTCAGTTGTAGACTTTAGACTTTGTACTCTTTGTATTACTTTACATAATAAGATAAGCAGCTTATCTTATGAAGAAATTTGTCCTTTTTTTTTCTTGGTAAAGAGGTTTTCTTTCTGTTGCTGGCTTCAAGTCCCAGAGATGAGATCATCTCACCCCCTCTTCCACTCCAAGGGTACCTTCCGTGCGTTAGCAGGCCGTAGTCAAAAGGCAGATGTTTTCACTCAGTTCTTCAGTTGAAATGCGTCTTTACTGATCTATCACAGAATAATTCCCTTTGATCTTCGTGACCCTTGGAAGATGTTCTGGAACTCCATAGGTCAGTTGTAGGTTATTGAATATAGCGTTACATGTATTCCATCTTACTGTTGCCAGCAACGGCTTAGACGCTTTACTTTGTTACTGCAGTGGAATGAGGCAAACGATGCTTGTGAATTCCGGCTCTCCTTTCTAATGGACTCCACTCTGTCTGTCTCTCAGAAATAACAGAAGAGCCATCAAGCTTTAGATCTGAAAGCCAGGAAGCTTTAGTGTATCTTGGGCAGCATCCGCAAAGAAATCTGGTCTTAGGTTGGGAAGACTTAATTTTAGTTCAGTAGAACCTCTAGAATCGCACTTCTGTCCCTTCAAGAGCCATGGCCAGCTACGCTTCAGGCAGTTCTGTCTGGTTATGAGATGGCCTTCATCTTGAGTCGCTTAAGACACGGTCCAGTCAGAAATGAGTTGGGCTTGTTCACCTGGCAAGTCCAGCCTGCTGCCAGGCCTGGAGCAAGACCCACCCCCGTGCGTGTGTGCGTCTCGTGCGGTCTGAACGAAGTCTGCACATGCCGTCTGCCCTGGCAGCAGACTGTGCCACGGCTATTTCAGGAGGTTAGCCTGGCATTGGCGTCTGGCGTGCCCCAAGGCGGGGTGCGTGGACGCAGCTGGGCCGGACAGAGGGTCTTGCCATGCTGCAGAGTGCTTATCTTGGAAGCGCAGTGGGTAAGTGCAGCTTCACGTGGGCAAGGTAACTAACCTGACTCTGGTTTTCACCCTGTAAAATGATGGTAAAATCATCAGGTGTAGAGATATGTTACACGTATATTGAAATTCATTACTGTAATTTCAGAGATTTTGACACCAAGTGGAACACGTGTCTTTTGTTGGGGTTTTTTAATGCATGAAAGGAATAATGTTTCCTTCCAGTTCCTCCTTCGAAGAATTAAAATCCTCTGCATTTTGAACAAGGAAGACATTGAATGACAATTTTGATTTTGCGCATTTAGATTTTGTTGCCATTGAAATAACGGGATGTGATGATCATTTTTGGGGGAAAAAAAAACAACAAACAAAAAAAAACCACCAAAAAACTTTGAGGGGGCTTTTCATATATGTTAGGCATTTATGAGTATAAGTCACTTTGAAGTAGATTGTATCATCTAACTCTGTTGACAAACTTTCAGTCATTAAAAATGGTGAAAATTATTATTAGACTTCTATCTATATTTTCAAAAGTTATCTTTCACGTTAGATCTACTCATTGGAGTGATGGATGCGTTTTGTTCTACTTTGGTTACTTAATTCTTCTACTTGGGTTACCCAGAGTTCTGTGTCAGCTGGTCGTAGCTGGGTGTGATGATGTGGTTGCCTTACGCCAGAGTGTCACAAACCAGTAAGAGCAGACCAGTGACTCTGCCATCGATGTCACTGTTAGATTGTATGTGTGTCTATAAGCCGTGATTAGAAATACATATTCTACAAAGAAATTGTTTTCCCTGGATTTCATACTTGCATTCACATGTGAACTTCTTAGAGAAAGGCTGATATTAAGACAGATATTAAGATAGATACACACTTACAACTGCGAGGCAGTAATCTAAAACAGAGCACGTTACAAAGATGCTGCCGTTATCCACAGGCTAAACAAACGAACGCGAAAGAGCGTGCACACGTGAGGAACCCAAGCAGCCATAACTGTCCTCTGACCTAACTGAATGATTTTTAAAATTCTTTTAACTGGCCGTTGTGACCGATATAATTCAATCCAGATTTGAAAGGAGCAAGAAATTATATAGAAAACGTTTTTATTTGTATCAGCGGCAGCTGAAATATCAACAGATACCTTAGCTTACTGCTTTGATTGCCAAGGGAGTTTGTAGAAGAGGTGTTGAAGGGACCATTTCTGAAATGACGTTTGTGTTTCCTCTGTAACAGAGAATAGGCTTGTTAATTTGGCATCAACCTCCTGAAGAAACCTTAGAACCACGTATGGTCCTCTTCACCTACCGTTATTAGCAACTGTTATCTCGTGTGCAGTGCAAACATTAATATCCTTTCTGTGACTTACTTTTTAGTTTTGAAGAGAAAGATTTAGGTCACAATAAAGTAAATATTTACTCAGGAAAGATGACACGAACAGAATAATCCTTTTGGCATTTGCAAAGAAAAACTTACATTCCCTTAAACTCTGGGTTACAACTAGGGAGGTTGCTGGCTGTGTTATATGCTTGCTAGATACAGAGCAAACATTCAGAGTGAACAATTTGCACTGAATTTACAATCACAGACAACCTGAACGTTATTTAGTGTCTGGTCACCTGGAGACTCTGAGTTAATTCACTACATTTGTTCCTGTGGTAAGGTAAACACGGCATCTAGCCTGTGACCAAAACTTCACTACCTTATTACGGCAAGATGAGGCGTCATTTTCACAAAGATTTTAGTGCCGTCAGGAGGCGTAGCATGAAGACACGGTTGTCGACTCTGTCTTTAGAAAGCTGGCTTTTCAGTAGTTATCTTGGCTAAACACAGCCCAGAAACCCGGCAAGGACGGGCTGCGGTCTCTCCAAACCGTTCTCGATAGCCGATGGGAGGGATGCTTTTTTCCTGCCTCCAAGTGTGGGTTCTCCAGAATGAGAGGGGAAGTGGACATTGCGTAGCCAGCGAAGGTATCTCCGCGTGCCAGAAGCAGCGGTCCTATTGCCAGGCGGGCTGAGATTGTCTGCTTTTGATGATTGCTCCTACTGTAGAAAAAGAGTGAAAACTTAAGTGTTACTGGAGTAGCTGGTCACTCTGCAAACTTGAGTCAGAACTTCAGACGCTTTAAGAAAGAAACAAATAAATGCCTTACCAAATTTTAAGCTAAATAGTGAAACTCACATTGGTTTAGAAATAGGTGCTTCCTTTAAAGGACAAAGATCTATTGCAGCATGTGCTAACAATATGAAATTTTGTATTCACTTAAACTATTCCCCTTTTCTTCCCCTCTGGTCACTTGGTTGTGTCCATGTATAAATTTGGTACAATTCAGTTCAAGTAATACAAATCCTTTGTGAAGATTTACTGTGATTTGAAGGTAAATTCAAGCCTATTCCTACCTGGCTGTTAAAAAATTGATAAAGCTGAAATTACATTGGTTGAAATGAAAAAAAGTTCTCTTGCTAGATATTTTAGTAACTCTTTCCTCAAAATTGTAATTATGTGGGCAATCTCTGAACCAAAAAGAAAGGTAAGCAGAGCATAAGGCTGTTGTTTTCACTCCTTAGCATGTGTCATCACTGTTGGTTTAGGTCGAGCCCAGATCTGTGCCAAACACCACACCAGGCTGTCATTCAAATATGAATTTGAACGTTGTACCCCAGGAATAGAGTAGGGCTTGATATGTGCCCTCGCATCTGGCGTGGTGTTGGGCCGTTGCCCTGAAGTTGCAGATCTATACAGATGCCGCCACGTGAGCCCAAGGCTTGTCTTTTGAGTTAAATCAGAGAGAGGTGCAGGAGTCTCCTACCTTGGGATCTCTCATGGCAAGTCTACAATTTTTTACAGGGAATAATTTATGTATGTGTGCAGTTCTGTGCCGGTGGAATTTGAATTTATGGAAATCGCTTCTGACGCCCCCATATTCAATGTGTACTTCTTAGTGGAAGAAGGTTGTTAAGAAGATAATTTAGTTTATGTGCTGGCACCCATTACGTAGTAACTGAACTGATGCTGCCCAGCTGGTGAAAGCTGATTCAAAATGTTTAGTCAAAGCAACCAGTTTCTTTTTTTCTTTAGAGATTGTCCAACTTTTAATTGAAATTATTTCTAATTCCATCAAATTTCCCAGTAAAATTGTTAAGCCTAATTTTATCATCTTACGCTTTCACGTATAGCTGCTTAGGCTGCAAGCAAATTTAATAGTGGTTTAATTGAGTTGTTATTCCGTAGGAAGTTAATATTTGCTGTTTACTTTATTCATAATGCTCATTTTGACCTAATCTTTACAAACCGATACTTAGTACTGCAGGTGATAGCTGAAGTATTTTGAATACTTTAATAAAGTCTGTCTCTGCTTCAGGTTTATGTCCGGTTAAGGCCATTCTTCCGAGAATTCCTGGAACGTATGTCTCAGATTTATGAGGTAAAAACAATTAGACGTTACCTTTGAATTTAATTTTTAAATTATATTCACATACTTATATCTAAAATAATTACTTTTCCCCCTTTAATCCATAGATCATTCTTTTTACTGCTTCTAAGAAGGTGTATGCAGACAAGTTATTGAACATACTAGACCCTAAAAAGCAACTGGTCAGGTAAAAATAAAAAATTGTGAACATACCTGTTGTAAGCAAAGTAACTACTATTTCCTACCAAATGTGCTGAAGAAAGTGGTTATGACATGTTTGTTATTGCAGTGTGCCTCACTAAACTGATTCTTTGTGGGTTTGTCTGGTCTACGAGTGAGAGAAACGAAGAGATTGAATTATTGCCTTGGTGATAGGATAAACCCAGGCAGCTTTACATTGCCCTCTGTGGCCAAAAAACGTAGCAGTTCATTCTCCCTAGCATGTTAGCTTGCTCACGGAAAATGGCCTCTTGGGTATCAAAAATGTGTTTGAGCTGCTTTGGGATACACATCACAAATAAAGAAAATGAATGAGTATTAAATTACTTTTAAACTATTCGGACTTGATGTGTTGTTTACGAATTATAAATTGTATAGTTATCTCTACAATCAGCATGTTTTCATTCAATCACAAAATAATTTGTTTGTGGGGTTTGTATTAGCGTTGGTTTGGGTTTTCATTTCTTAATACTGAGCTTTGTTTGGAAGTGATTGGCGTTTCTCGAGAGCAGTTCCGTAAGGCATAAAGAAATTCTGCCGGATGAGATTTGTTCTGTTATCCTCATCTGGAGGGTGGACTGTTACGTGGGAGGGCTGACACCAAGAGGGCTCTTCTCAGGGATTCACCCTACAGAGGGTATCCCGAGCAGGGGAAGGAAACAGCTCTACTTGATTATAGTCAGAACCGTATAAATTCTGTACCTGGGGCAGCACTGGCAAAGCACTTCTCTGCATCATTTTATTGTAATGTTCTTCAGCGAAAACTTGGGTTTGTTTACACGCGTAATAAAATTACCATTTGCACTGAGACAGTGGTTGCATCCCTTGCTTTCACTTGGTAGTTCAGGCGTATCGTAACTCATTTTCCTTAAGAGCGTAAAGATAAACTGTTCACTAGTTTTCAGCCAGGAACAGTCAGTCTTACTGCTTGTTCTTATGTGGCACGCGCAACAGAATCCCGGTTCGGTTTTGGTAAATTTACTTGCCGCTGTGTTTTGAACGGGCAAACAAAACGACTTTCAAAGACTTCCAGTCATTGGAATCTCTGAGCCGCACTGAATCAGACAACCCACTGGGACGCATGAACCAGTAAGATACTTGCACTCACAGAAAATAAGTGTGCATCCGTAGCGTTAAAAATCTTTCTGCAAGAACCTAATACGAATGATTCAGGACTGCAGTTTTAACTGCGTTAGGAACAGGAAAAAGATAATAAAATATACGGCCAAACAGTATTCTAAGAAGTTGGCAGAAGGATTCATGTGATGCATGAATTTAGTTGTGATTCATGTGCCACTGAAAAGCTGACATCAAGGCATGATTAGATTTGACATTAGCCTAAAGGTAGCCTTGTCAGGCACGCCACACGTGTGACTCACAGTCTATATATAAATGCATTCGCTGCCGAGGCATCGGCTTATTTTCCTCCATAGCAACATTAGGAACTCAACCCCTTGCTGAAATGAAGCACGCTATGTACAGCTTCTACAAAACTTCATTTAAAAATATAAGCAGCCTTAAAGAAACTGCATTGTAATCCCACTGGGTGAAACTCAAAATCCCTCTAGTTTACAATTTATTTTTAAATTGTAATTATGTTGATATTCCATGAAATTTCAGTTTTATTCCTGGTATTTTTTAATCTGAGTCCTTTCAGTGTATCCATCCATTTACTATGTATTTCTTCTGTAATAAATTAAAAGGGAGTAGACTAGTGGGAAGGGAAGAAGCTGATGGAATGTTTTGGCCTCGAGGCTTTTTTCAAGCTCTAATAACTGCAATAGGTTAATTGCGAACAGAGGTAACACAAAAAAAGAAAACATTTCTCCTGACACTGTGTGTTCTAGCACGCCATGGCACAGGGAGGCCCTGTACTGTAACAGCTAGGACAAAATAAAGGGATAATAAAACCCAGTAAACTGGTTCCTGTGCAGAGCTAATCTCTGATTTTGGGGCCTTGTAAAATCATTCGAGAGTTTAGGGTCCCTTTGTCAGTCCATCTGCAAAGGTGGTTAGAAAGCAAGACCCTGTTGACAAATATTTGTTACATCGGAGTTGAGCTTTTCTGTTTAAGTACAAACAACTGCCTGCAGAACTAGGTTACCATGAAATTACTTTAACTAGTAAAGTTACCAGTAAAAAGCTCAAAAGCAAGTGGAAAAAAGGGGGAACGATTCTTTAAAGGGAGCCAAGTAGATCGGAAG